AGACAGGATGCTGGACTAGATGGACCACTGGTCTGATCCAGCAGGGCTCTTCTGATGTTCTTATGAAGGCTTCGACCTCTATGTCTTGTTGCTGGCCCTCTGGAGGAAGTGGTTGGCCTCTATGTGAGACAGGATGCTGGACTAGATGGAGCACTGGTCTGATCCAGCAGGGCTCTTCTGATGTTCTTAGCAGGGGAAGGCCTCAGCCTCTGTGCCCTGTTGTTCGCCCTCCAGAGGAACTGGTTGGCCAATGTGTGAGACAGGAGGCTGGACTAGATGGACTTTTGGCCTGATCCAGCAGGCCCCTTCTTATGTCCTTACAAATATTTCAAAAAAATAAAATGAATGCCCTTTGCTCTCTCAACAGGCCCGGTGACGACTCCCACATGCCGCTTCTGGACTTTCCCCCATTCTCATTGGCTGCTGCTGTTTCTTTTCCCCCCATCAGGTGGTCTTCTGCATGGACCGTGCATTAGAGTTTGCCCCTGCCTGCCACCGGTTCAAAATCCTCAAAGCAGAATGCTTAGCGTTACTAGGTCGCTATCCTGAAGCACAGTCAGTTGCAAGGTAGGCGGAGCGACCGGTAGAAAGCAGACATGTACTTTGGGGGGGGGCTCTCTCTCTCTCTCTGCGTCGTCAATGTCTTTGGCTAGTGCTGAGCAGATGAGCAAGATCTGTGTCTTAATTCTTTTTGCTTGACGTTTCCATGCCAGCAACACCTCTGTTGTTTGTAGAACCACTTCTGCTCTTGGCTTTCCAGGGTCGAAGGTTTCTTCGTCCTTTCTGACCTGCAGTGACAATGCCCCACCTGGTCTCTTTGGCCATTTGCTGTCAACAAACAATTGGCCCATGTAATTTGCAGGCTCTGACAACGATTGGCTGAGCTGCCATGTTGTCAGAGAATGACAGAGCAGACAGAACCATCTCTGGCTGGCCAAGCTGCTTCAGTGCTGCAGAAGGGTGATGCAAATGTAAGGTTTAGCCAAGAGGCAGGAGGAGGAGACATCTGAGAAAGCAGGAGCCGGAGGCCTAGGAAAGTCTTGCCACACTCTCAAGAGAAATTGGGAGGGGGGGTTTAGAAAGAGAATGATGGGAAAGAGAGTTGTCCAGAAGAATGAGGGGAACAGAAGGCCCGTGGGAGGCAAGGCTAAGCTGTGGAGTCCTGTGAGCAAAATTTCTACCGTGTGAGCTACCGGCATTAAAGTTGCGAGCAGGTGATTTGGCTACTGCTTAAATAAGTTTGCTCTGGAGCCGTCCTTCCTGAGCGAAAGCAAAAAAATGCGTGAGCCGGAGGGTAAAAAACTGAGCTAGCTCGCACTGACTCAGCTTAGAGGGAACACTGGTGGGCGGAGACCGAGAGGGGACGGGAAAGGGGGGGTGGCAAGCCGGGAGGGCTTTTTCATGGCCACAGGCTACTGAGCTGAGACACTGCCTGTGAATGTGTAGCAGACGCCATTCTATTTGGCTGCTAAGATCTCAGGCATGCCTGGGTGGCCCCTGCCAACCCCCATCTCCGGCAGGGATGTGACTCACCCCCCCCCTTTGCCCTCCCCCCGTTCTTTGATTCCCCTCTCGCCTCCACCCTCTGTGTTTTCAGTGACATCTTACGAATAGACGCCACAAACGCCGACGCCCTCTACGTCCGAGGGCTCTGCCTTTACTACGAGGACTGCATCGAGAAGGCCGTGCAGTTCTTTGTCCAGGCGCTGAGGATGGCCCCAGACCACGACAAGGCCTGCATTGCTTGCCGTGTAAGTACCAAGCGTAGTTAACAGACTCAACGGTTACAAAGTGCCAAAAAGCTGAAGGACATGTCATAGAGAATGATGTGTACAAAGCAGCTACAATGAAAAAGTACAAAATGTAAGCAATGGAGAACTGGCCTGTGCTACAATGTCTAAACAATGGAGAACTACTAAATAATTCAACGTTGTGTTGATAACGTCTCAAGGTTCATCCTTCATCAGGGTGGTTCCCTTTAAGCTGCTGTGGTTTTCAGACTCATACTGACATGCATCGGGAACAGTAACAATTCAATACAAAATTGGACGCCAATCTCCAACATGTAGTCAGCTTCAATAGCTTCAGATTTGCAGCGGGACCGGCCCACGGGATTTGCCATGGAGGCACTGCATTTGCACAGGCAAAGAGCACTCGCTTGGGTGGGGGGGGGGGTTCCAGGACCAAGGAACCACCAGGACCAAGGACTCACATTGTTCAGGGATAGTCACTGAGTGCAGACATTCTGCTTCCTGTCTGGCGACATGTGACATCATGAGGAAGGGGTTGCGAAGGTCCGACTGCAGCCTTGTTTGTTCGTCATGCTAAAAAAAAAAAAGATTTAACGTTCTGCATCCAGGCAGCTGGAATCCCACGACGCAAAAAAGTTGGGCAGGGGAGGGAGTTTCCGCTGCAATTGCCTCACACGTTGCCTTCTCTTCCAGAATGCCAAAGCACTGAAAGCGAAGAAGGACGACGGCAACAAGGCTTTCAAGGAAGGGAATTACCAGCTAGCTTTTGACCTTTATACAGAGGCCCTGGCGATAGATCCAAACAACAGGAAAACCAACGCCAAACTCTACTGCAACCGGGGGACGGTTAACTCCAAAGTAAGGGCGGTTCAGAGTGAGATTTGTTTACTTCAAGCAATTTCTGTCCCGCCTCTCTCCACAAGGCAGCTAATAGAGAACCGTTTGGGTGACCTTGGGTCAGTCACAGTTCTCTCAGAGCTGGTTTCTCATTAGCAGTATGAGTCCGGTGGCCCCTTTAAGACCAATAAAATTTGGTGTACTGGTTAAATTTGCGGACTCTAATCTGGGAGAACTGGGTTTGATTCCCCAGTCCTCCACTTGCACCTGGCTGGATGGCCTTGGGCAAGCCATAGCTCTGATAAGAACTGTTCTTGAAAAAGGGCAGTTTCTGTCAAGAGCTCTCTGAGCCCCACCTCCCTCACAGGGGGGGTCTGTTGTGGGGAGGGGGAGGGGAAGGAGTTTGTAAGCCGCTCTGAGACACCTTCGGGTAGTGAAGGGCGGGGTATAAAATCAATCTCTTCTTCTTCTTAAAGATTTCCATCCCTCACAGTTTTGGCAATCGGGAGGCAAAGGAGGGGAGGAAGTCCCCCAGTACCCTGGAGTGAAAAAAGGACTGAAGAATTTTTGCCTCACCTGGTTTTTAAAAGCCACAGGGGAGGGTGCCCTCTCGGTTTTGGAGCCCATTTCAAAAGGTCTCGGGGGGGGGGAGCCTGCCCCAAGTCTCCACGTGAGTGGTCAAGTCTTACAAGGCCCGCAGCCCTTGGACCGTGGAGTGTTTCGGAAACTATGGGTGTGGAAAATAAGCAGGATTGGCGTGTGAATAGAACACAGTTCCCCTGCCTGAGAATGTGCATGCAGGGGAGTAATAATCATTCCAATACTTTATAATAAGCAATTAATATAGCATTTTTCTGACTGTGTATCTGAGGAATGACCACAGGAATAAACAGCTTTCAAAGGGATTTAGATAGATTCATGGAACATAACTCTTATCAGTGGCTACTAGCCATGGTGGCTGAGGGGAACCTCCACATTCAGAGGCACTAAGCCTCTGAATCCAAGAGCCAGGAGGCAACATCAGGGGAAGGCCAAGGCCTGTGTGCCCTGTTGTTGGCCCTCTGGAGGAACTGGTTGGCCTCTATGTGAGACAGGAAGCTGGACTAGATGGACCACTGGTCTGATCCAGCAGGGCTCTTAGGTTCTTATCAGGAGAAGGCTTCAGTCTCTATGCTCTGTTGTTGGCCCTCCAGAGGAACTGGCTGGCCCCTGTGTGAGACAGGATGCTGGACTAGATGGACCACTGGTCTGATCCAGCAGGGATCTTCTGATGTTGTTATCAGGGAAAGGGCTGGGCCTCTCTGCCCTGTTGTTGGCCCTCCGGAGGAACTGGTTGGCCACTGTGTGAGACAGGAGGCTGGACTTATGAAAGCTCTTCCCCTGCCACAAATTTTGTTCATCTTTAAGGGTCCTACTGGACTCTTGCTGTTCTGCACTGCTAAAAAAAGCCTCTGAACTGAATGCATTTGAGTGAGTTTATAGAAGGTGTTTGTTGAGGAACCAGTCGCTTCGGGGTTCTCTTAAACTGTAGAATGTGTTTCTTACACCCATTGATGTGTACACTTTCACGGGAGCTGTGTGCATTGTTGAAGTTCTGTATGGAAACCTGATTATATCTCAGAGGTCCATTGGAACAGGCTAAGTTAATCAGCTGTCCATCAGCAACTTCATTGTTCAAGGGTTCTGTTGAACCTCTGCCCGATTTTTGCTCCGCTTCAGTCTTATACATTTACCAGGCCCGTAGGTACCATGGGGCCTCCCAGCCCCCCCACCCCCGACTTCTTCCTAAGGCTCCACAACTTTTTGGTAGAAGCGGGGGGGAAGCCACGTGGGCCTGCACCTCAAGCCACAAATTTGGGATGCAGGAACAGGTGGGGCCTCCCCCCACTTCTCCCGCAAAGCATTTAAAGGGACCCTTTAAATGCTTTGGGGGAGAAGCGGGGGTTGCACATGGATTTCAGTGCCCCCCCCCGACTTTTTAAGAAGAAGAATAGATTGGATCTATACCCCCGCCCTCCACTACCCAAAGGAGTCTCAGAGCAGTTTACAAACTCCTTTCCCCCCCCCTCCCCACAACAGACACCCTGTGAGGGAGGTGGGGCTGAGAGAGCTCTTGACAGAAACTGCTCTTTTTCAAGGACAGCTCTTATCAGAACTATGGCTTGCCCAAGGTCATCCAGCAGATGCAAGTGGAGGAGTGGGGAATCAAACCCGGTTCTCCCAGATTAGAGTCCGTGCACTCAACCATGACACCACACTGGCCCCCCAAATAAAAAACTCCTGGCTACAGGCCTGGCACTTAACCTGCCTCTTCAGCACGTCATCCTTTATCTCTGTGATCTAAATATTTTTGGCCCGTTCCGTCACTCTGTCGTTTGATCCTCAGTGTACTGCAGTTTCTTGATCAGTTCGCTATCGCTGGCAATGCACTCTTCACCTTTGGCGTAAAAAGCATTTTCTTGAAGTGCTGTTATTTTGAGCTTTGGCACCTCATAACCTCCCAAAACTGCAGGGAACCACCGGTGGCTTCTAAAGAATAGAATGGGAAATTTAAAAAATATATATGTATCAACGGTCTTTGTTACTCTCCTGGAAAAGGCAAAGTAGGATCCTGTTGTGTCCTTTCTGTGCCACTTAATGTGTCTTGTGAACATTTATGCTATACGCTTCAGTTCTTTCTGGGGGTTCCAGACTTCCAGTATCTGAATGCGCTGGTCACTGAATTTCCCGTTTTGTTGATTGTACTAGTTCACTGAGAGCCAATTTGGTGTAGTGGTTAAGTGCGCGGACTCTAATCTGGGAGAACCGGGTTTGATTCCCCACTCCTCCACTCACAGTTGCTGGATGACCTTGGGCAAGCCGTAGTTCTGATAAGAGCTGTTCTTGAAAAAGAGCAGTTTCTGTCAAGAGCTCTCTCAGCCCCACCCACCTCGCAGGGTGTCTGTTGTGGGGAGGGGGAGGGAAAGGAGATTGTAAGCCGCTCTGAGACACCTTTGGGTAGTGAAGGACAGGGTAGAAATCCAATCTCTTCTTCTTCTTCTTCACTGTGTAATCCCACCTTCAGTCCCTGTGCGAAAGATGGACTATAAACAATGTATATAAATATCTACAGGAGATCCAAGATTGCAGATCTGTTGCCTTCCGCCCTTAGAGACCAAAATGAAAATGAACAGGCAGACAGCCACCAAGTGGTTCCCTTCCTAACCTCCGAACTTGCCTTACAGCTTAGGAAACTGGACGAAGCGATAGAAGACTGCACAAACGCCATCCGACTGGACGACACGTACATCAAGGCCTACCTGAGGAGAGCACAGTGGTGAGCAGGGGGGCCCAGCAAGCGGGGGACACGGCACGGGGATAACGTTGCGTGCGCAGCAGTGCCGAATGTCCCAGGTTCCCTCCCTGCTGTCTCCAGCTGACAGTTGTCAGGTAGCCGTGTTGGGAAAGACCCCTTGCCTAAGACATTGGGGAGGCGGTAGGGGGCTCAAATGACCGATGATCTGACTTGGTACAAGGCATCTTTACGTGTTCAGAGAACATAAGAACATAAGAGAAGCCAATGTTGGATCAGGCCAATGGCCCATCCAGTCCAACACTCTGTGTCACACAGTGACCAAAAATACCAGGTGCCATCAGGAGGTCCAGCAGTGGGGCCAGGACACTAGGAGCCCTCCCACTGTTGCCCCCCCCCGAGCACCAAGAAGACAGCATCACCTGCCCCAGCCTGTGAGTTCCTAGCTGTACCTTGTGGCTAATAGCCACTGATGGACCTCTGCTACATATGTTTATCCAGTTCCCTCTTGAAGCCGTCCATGCTTGTAGCCGCCGCCACTTCCTGTGGCAGTGAACTCCACGTGTTCATCACTCTTTGGGTGAAGAAGGACTTCCTTTTATCCGTTCTAACCTGTTCAGAGGAAGGGTGGTGGGGCAGCTGTGCATTTCTGGCACGTGGTGCTTTGAGACCTGCCAGGGTCTACAAAACTGATGGGGTTGGGATCAGTCACGTAGAGTCGTGTCCAAAGGTTTGCTGCCATCCTTTTCTCACTGTTCCGCCTCCCCGGGCATTTGATTCCTCGTTTCTAAGCCCTGATTGTTTTTATTTTATCTACTTCATTATGTTTTTATCCCAGGCTTTGACAAATATTCCTAAGGACTAGTCCAGAAATGTAGAAGCCAGGGTCATTTTTCAGCTGTCCCGGTTTTGTGTTTTAATTACTTTTTTTTTTAAGTTGTTGCTACTGTCTCTTCACAGTTCCATGAGAACAATGTTTGAGTCCAGCCGCACCTTTAAGACCAACAGAGTTTAATTCCAGGTCTAAGCTTTCACGTGCACGCACAAAACTTTGTTCTGTTGTTTCAGACTAACATGGCTACCCACCTGAATCTGTTCACAGTTTCATGTAATTTTATCAGAGAGAAGTATGCATGCGCACGAAAGCATAATGAAACTTGGTTGGTCTTAAAGGTGCCGCAGGACTCAAACTTTGTTCCGATGGAAGTGTTGTAGTATATAAGCAGAGGGTTATCTGGTTATCACCACGACAAAAAGCTAGCCTCTAGCCCCAGCCTAGCTTCTCCCCAATTCCTGATCATTCCCTTATTGCTTTAAGAAGCTCTGCTTCTTGAAGCTGGCATAGAAAGCAAATGATTAAGGCTCACCGGCCACCAAAAGGAGCGATATCTGTCTCTTAGGCAGTCAGGTGGTCGAGAACTGGGAACTCATCCTGACCTGGTTCGCCCAGGCAAGCACGATCTTGTCTGATCTCGGAAGCTAAGCAGGGCCGACCCTGGCAAGTCCTTGGAGGGGAGACCTCCTTGGAAGACCAGGGCTGGGATGCAGAGGCAGGCAGTATCAAAGCCACCTCTCTGAAATGTCCAAGCCCCACTAGGGGCCACCAGAAGTCAACCATGACTTCCAGGCCCACACACACACACACACACACACACACACACACACAAACCAAGAAAAAAAAAAGAATTGGGAACGCAGCAGCAGGACTCTTATGGTGGAAGTTGATAGTTTTGCCTTCTGTACCCGAGTCAAATTCCTCCCCCCGCCCCGGTCTCTTGGCCACCCCCTTCCCTCCCCAGTGCAGTCTGTTGAAGTGTGAAAACTCTGCTTCCCTTTCTTAGTTACATGGACACGGAGCAATTTGAAGAGGCCGTAAGGGATTATGAAAAGGTTTACCAGACAGAGAAGACAAAAGGTAAAACGGAGTGCCGGGGCACTGTCTGGACAGGTATTTTTTTAAAATATGGTTTTACACGTATGTCGCTGTCAGTGTTCCCTCTAAGCTGAGTTAGTGTGAGCTAGCTCACAGGTTTTTAGCCTCCAGCTCACACATTCTGGCCTTCGCTCAGGAAGGAGGGCCCCAGAGCGAACAAATTTATGCAGCAGCCAAATCGCCCGCTCACAACTTTAATGCCAGGAGCTCACAAAGTAGAATTTTTGCTCACCAGACCCCACAGCCTAGATCAGGGGTGGCCAAACCTGCTCCACTTAAGAGCCACATAGAATAAATGTCAGATGTTTGAGAGCCGCAATGTGAACAGATATTACATGTTTTTATTTTAAAAGACGCATATTTGCTTATTGTTAACATTACATGAGACTGCCAAAAACAAAAGGGGTCAAAACAAATATTGATCATGATATTTATCTGTCCAGTTATATTTATTTATTTGCTAAAGGTATTTATTTGTCTAAGAGAGAGAGAGTGAGAAATAGAGGTAGAAAGAAAGAATGAAAGAGGTGGAAAGAGAGGGGGAGAGAGAGAAACAATGAAAGCAAATAGATGGGAGGGAGGGGAAAGGAAGGAAGAGAAGGGAGGGAGGGAGAAAAAGCGTGCCTCCTCTTTGCTTCCCCAGCTACCCTGCCGGGAGCCACACAAAATGTGTGAAAGAGCCACACGTGGCTCCCGAGCCGCAGTTTGGCCATCCCTGGCTTAAGAAGAAGAAGAAGAGATTGGATTTCTACCCCGCCCTTCACTACCCAAAGGAGTCTCAGAGCGGCTTTCGAAATTCTTTCCCTTCTCCTCTCCACAACAGACACCCTGTGAGGCAGGTGGGGTTGAGAGAGCTCTTGACAGAATCTTTTTCAAGAACAGCTCTTGTCAGAACTGTGGCTTGCCCAAGGTCATCCAGCAGGTGCAAGCAAAGGAGAGGGGAATCAAACCTGGTTCTCCCAGATTAGAGTCCGCGCACTTCACCACGACACCAAACTGGCTTAGAGGGAGCATTGGTCACTGTTTGTCTTTTGCTTGTATTCAGGCCTTCTTTTTATACTTCATCCCTTAATCCGGAGCTGTATATATTTTCTGCTGTCAAGTTGCAGCTGACTTATGGTGACCCCGGAGGGTTTTCAAGGCAAGAGACGTTCAGAGGCGGTTTGCTGTTGCCGGCCTCTGTGTGGTGACCCTGGGCTTCCTGGGTGGGCCCCCATCCAAACACTAGCCGGGGCCGATGGGCTAACCTGGGCTGTCCAGGTCAGGTCTTCAGCACAGTCTAAATATTCATCATTTAAGAGCATGTTTCTGGTCTCCTCTGGGGCAGACTAACCCTTAAGCAGACTAAGCACCTGCTTAAGGCACCAGGGCCAAAGGGGGCACCACAAAGTTGGGGAAAGGATGAAAAGCTTAGTTTGTACAGCACATTGTGTTTTCCTAGGAATACATTTTTGTTTTGCTGCAACCTGTGTTGTATATCTGGTCAGACAGGTAATCAACAACAACTAAAATGGACGGGGTCAGTGTGGGAAGGAGGGGGGCACCAAGATGGGTCAGTGCTGAGGGCACCAGTGCGCCTTCATCCGCCCCTGGGTCTCCTGAACTGATTGAGAAATCAGACTTCTTGCAGACTTCTTGGTTTAAATGAGTCTTGATGTTCTGATAGACTGGGAGCATTTGAGATTTCCTTGAGCTCTCGCTCTTCCTTTTATACGCACAGGCACGTGTGGATTCTGAATTCCCAATATGCTCACGATTTCAGCTCCAGTATTTTTTTTAGCTTATTATCTGCCTAAGCTCCTGTTACTATTTCAGCTGTATGTTTTGGGTTTGTAAAGGAAACTATGTTGAGAGCAAGATTATCCACGAGACATGTTGTTTGCTCTGCATATGGGTTCTGATTATGTGTGATTGTATTTTAGTAAAAGCCAGTTTGGCGTAGTAGTTAAGAGCACGGACTCTAATCTGGGAGAACCGGGTTTGATTCCCCACTGTTCCACATGCAGCTGCTGGCGTGACCTTGGGTCAATCACAGTTCTCTCAGAGCTGTTCTCTGAAGGGCAGTTCTCGAGAGCGCGCTCTCAGCCCCACCTACCTCACAGGGTGTCTGTGGTGGGGAGGGGAAGAGGAAGGGAATGTAAACCGTTCTGGGACTCCTTTGGGTAGTGAAGGGCGGGGCATAAACCCAATCTCCTCTTCTTCTTTTTCTTCTTAAAAAGGGGTGGGGTGTATTAACTTTTCCTTTCTGTTGCAATTAAAACTACTTTTTTGATGTTCTTTCCCCTGTGCGATATTCCAGAACACAAGCAGCTCCTCAAGAATGCTCAACTGGAACTAAAGAAAAGCAAAAGGAAAGACTATTACAAGATCCTGGGGGTGGATAAGAGTGCCTCTGAAGATGAGATCAAAAAGGCATATCGGAAGCGGGCTCTGATGCATCACCCAGGTACAGAAGTGCCTGGTTCCCAAACTGTAAGAAGGAATGTGCCACAAAAAGGGCTGATAAATACTGAATGTTTTTCTCTCTCAGACCTGAACCTACCTCATAGGGCTACTGGGAGGATAAAAATGAAGAAGAGGAGAGTTTTTCCAAAACAAGGCCTGTAAAGCGTTCTTGAAAGAACTTAGTCCACCCATATATACACACGCAATACTAATTTTACAGACCTCTGAAGAAGACTCTTTAGTTGAAATGTATTTGGTCTACATTTTTTTAATCTAAATATTCCCTTACTTTGGTTTGCATAATATTGTATTGCTGTATGCTTTTGTATAAAACTTTATTTCATTTTCTCAAAATAAATATAGCAAGATGGGACAATGCAATATAATACAATAACAAAAGATACATCAATAATTAATAAGTTTACAATACATAGATGTAAATCTAGATATAAATGTTAAGCCGTGAGTAGACCATATTTACGCTGTCTTCCTTTTTTCCATTTTAATCCGGATATTAAAGATACCAAAACGGCTTTCAAAATTACCACAAACATAGATTATTAATTACATCAGGGCTATCTGCTTGTTTTGTCAAATATTCCATAACTGGGGAACCAGATTGATAACAAAAGTTAGATGAAGAAGTTTGGGAGATGCTTTTTAACTTACATGTGTCTTGGGAGATGCTTTTTTTACTAGGATTATGTAATGTTCTTGCCATAGATTCTTATCCTTTTTGGTTTACCTTTTGGTGTGTCGGTTGCCGGCTTATCTTCGCTTCTTTGGTTTGAGCGTGTCTTCTCTTTCGCGCCCCAGCTGAGTGCTCTCACGCTTTCTCTCCCCCCCCCC